CCCGGTTGCTGGCCATGGCCCTGCTGGTCTTGCTCATTGTCACCAGAGCCCTACAGCTCTGTGGATATCTGCAGATATAAATTGTGTAGCCACACAGGGCTCTAACTATTTGCTTATCAGTTTTGTGTTTGAGTTTTGTTTTGAGAACACCACCAGGATGTCAACGAGGTCCTGGGACTTCTCTCTTTTGGCATAAATCAACATTTTAAGTGTGAAACTTCTTAGTAAAAAAAACCCTGTCAAATCTGAAGTTCTTCTAACAATTAAACTAGTTTATTAAAAAAAAAAAAAGTACAAGCACCCACTGCAGCAATTTGACTGTAAATTGGAATAATGTAAAGAACTAAGACAATATAAATACAAAATCTTATTTAAATACAATTTAAAATTTTTTTTCCATCCTGATCTTACTTTTTATTTTTGTTTTTATTCTCTTGCACTGTGCTTAAGGTGCTTTTGGTAAAATATTAAGGCTAAACTATATAAATAAAAAAAATTGGGAGTGAGTTATTCTTGATTGTTTGAATAAATTGATATGAAGTTGCATTTTTGTGTAGGTAAAAGCATGGCTGTAGAGTTGGTATGAGGGGGTTTGAAGACCTGGATAGCGTTTTGGATGTTATTTTTTATTCTACTTGCATTTTTGGTGTGTGTGGTTTTATTGTTTATTGTTCCAGCATTAACACTAATTTGACTACAGGGTTTTGTAGCCAGTGACTTGATTTCTATGTACAACAAGCAAAAAAAATTTTTTAACGTCTAGTGTACATAAATTAAAAAAGGGAGGAGAAGGGTGAAAACACTTTTGAATCATGATGGGATAGGTCTAACCAGCATGGCTTTTGTACTCTGTTAGAATTTTTTGTCAATAAACACGTGAAAAAGTTGGTACACAGTGAGGAGGTAAATTTGTAGGTAACATACAAGTCTGATTAGTCAAGACTAGGAAAAACTGACGAGCCTTAAGAACAACCTTACAAAACTACATGAATAGGCAGCATCATGGCAGATTAAATCCAATGTTGACCAATATACGGTAATGCAGGTTGGAAAAAGTAATTTTAACTACTCATGCATACTTGGTTCACTCAGGAATGAGTACTTGGTGGTACTAAGAGAGGTCAATGAAAACCTCAAAGTAGTGCCATTCTATTTCATTCTTGATACACAATATTTTCAGTATTTTCTATCAGTCACAGGGTAAAAAGAACGAAACAGTCACCAAAATATATATAGCAGAAAAAGCGGAAAGTGGTTCAGAGGGAGATAGAGAATGATCAGTGGCATGGAGACACTGGAGCTGTTTAGGTTTGAAGAGCAAATGAATCGAATGGGACATGATGAATGATATAGAGAAGGTAGATGGAGATGTCCTCTCTTTTTTTTTTGCCTCTTTTCTTCCTTCCTCCCAACCCCAACCCCTATAATACAAAGAGATAAATTAAAAAGGAATAACTTTACACTGAGAAATACTTTCACACAATGCGTAGTTAGTCTGTGGGACTCATTGCCTGAAAATATTGTTGAGGCTAAAAAATTAACAAGATTCAAAAAAGTTTGTATGTTTGAATGGATAACAAGAATAACTAGTTGTCAGTAAGGATTAAAATGAAAAACCCAAGAGTTTTGGAAGAGATATAAACACTCATGCTTCAAGACATAAGCAGGCCTAACAGATCACATTAGGAAAAAACTTACTCTACAGGTTCTTCTGTAACTGCTTACTGTAGGTTTCTTGCAACTTTTTTCTGAAGCATCTGGTATTGGCCACTGAGACACAAGATGTAGGACTAGATGGGCCACTTGTATGATCCACAATGACAATTGCTGTTACTATATTTTGTCATAGTTGTTAAAAGAAACTCAACAAGTGATGTTTTGAGTCAAAGCAGAGCTTGTTTTGCCTTTGAGTGAAAATTTAATATGAAAGGTAATGGGTTTTTTTTTATAACTATTTGCTTCGATGTTCAGTTTAAAAGGCTACCCATACCTTTTCCCAGAAAGTAGTAAAGTATTGTTTACACATGTATACACAGTATATACAATTCTCTCTTACTTAAGGTAAGATGTCAGGTTATTTAAGCCAAGCAGTAGAGATGGGAGCAGGAGGGAAGCGGAGGGTAGAGGAATGGGTGTGGGCTGGGATCTGGCAACAAAGCAGTGAGTATGAGAGTACTTTTGAGCTCGGAACCAGGAGGTGAAGCTATTGGACTATGATCCAGCTAGCCATGCAATGCCCCTTTGGGGGCTGGGATAGTAGAAGGGCAGGAAGGAGGCTCCAGGTAGCAGAAGGGACCAAGGAGACTGCAGATAGCAACCTTGGGGAGATGCAGGAAGTCCATGATGTGGCAGAAGTAGGCAACTGGAGGCGGACTGGGGAGGGATAGAGGCCAGTTGGGGCTCTGGGGGAGGAGGGGGTTGGCCCCGAAGGACAGGGGGTCGGGAGGACATGAGGCTGGGGGGTTCCATGGAACACTTGGGGGCAGCAGCACAAGGCTGGGGTGGGGGGGTTCTGGAGGGGCTGTGCTGTGCTTGGTGCCCTGACACAAGCAGTTTCTGTAGGAACTGGTAGGGCACTTACCAGCTGGGTTGCTTGATAGGGCAGGGCCCATGAGTTATGGCTCTATGGCCCGGCCGTCTCTGCCATCTCCACGAAAACTGGGTGATACACAAGACAAGGTGAAGAGTTTGAATTAGGGCCCCAACAGCACTGGCCTCTGGTTAGGCTGCGGAGTGAGCATGTGCCACCCAATTGCTCCATGATTGGAGGGGCAGGGTGCAGAGGAGACACATCAGCCAGGCTCCCACAGGACTCCCAGCACAGCACCTGTGCAGCTTCTGGGGTATGTGGAGACTCTCTCTCCCCCATCTCTCCGCCCCTCCCCCTGGAACATTGCCGCTCGCAGCCCTAAATGTTCCTTTGTGCCCCACAGTTTGAAAACTGGGCATTTGTCCTGTTTGCTCTTTCCAAGGGAGGATCAGTTGGCAAGAACAAACGTAACAAACAGGACAAATGCCCAGTTTTGCCAAAAAAGTTGGGACCTCTGGGACAGGGCTTAAAAAGGGGACTGTCCTGGCAAAATGGGACACATGGTCACCTAGAGATGGTGGATTTTGAGATTGGGTGTGACAGCATTAGGTGTTTCATCTTTATGTTTTGTGCTTGGTATTGGACTGCTATGTTTGTTCTTAAAGCACAGGAGTTACTCATTTAAAGCATGTGAGTAATGTAGTAAATGATTGATTGGTATTTAAAGCTGTTTTCTCAAGGTTAGTAAAAACTTGATCCAAATTTTTCCAAACATGTTCTAGGTAACTTCTGTTTTACTGATATAGACCGGGGCGGGCAAACTTTTTGGCCTGAGGGCCGCATCAGGTTTCGGAAATTGTATGGAGGTATGGTTAGGGGCAGGGGTTGTGGCCCTCCCCCACCCCCTATCTGCCCCCCTCTCCCCCCAGGACTCCTGCCCCATCCTGCCCCCCCCCACCCCCCCGGTCCCCTGACTGCCCCCCTGCCAC